TTTGACTAGATTGACCCCGAAGGATGATCCATTCCGATGGTCCGATGATTTTGAGGCAAGCTTTTAGAAGCTCAAGACCACATTGACTACAATACCAGTGTTAGTGTTATCCTCCGGTTTAGGGATTGATACTGTGTATTGCAATGCTTCATGCATTGTCTTGGGTTGTGTATTGATGCAGGAATGGCGAGTTATTGCATATGATTTACGTCAGCTGAAACCCCACGAGAAGAATTACCACGTACATGATTTGGAGTTGCCTGCAATAGTTCATGCTCTTGAGATTTGGCGGCATTATTTTTATGGGGTGTCTTGTGAGGTTTACATCGATCATTGCATCTTGTAACATTTGTTTAAGAAGAGGGATCTTAATTTGAGGCAGCGCAGGTGGCTTGAGTTACTGAAGGACTATGATATTACCATCCTTTACCATCTGGGCAAGGCGAATGTGGTTGCAGATACCTTGAGCAAAAAGGCCGATAGTATGGATAGTTTGGAATTCATTTTAGGAGTGGAGAAGCCATTGGCTTTGTACATTCAGTTCTTCGCTAACAAACTTGTGAGGTTGGATATTTCAGAGCCCATTCGGGTTCTTGCATGTTTTGTGGCTCAATCTTCATTATTTCAGCAGATCAAGGCTCGTTAGTACGATTATCCGCAGTTGCTAGTTCTTAGAGAGATGGTACTACAGGGTGGTGCCAAGGATGTTTCTATCGGTGAAGATGGTGTTATGCGACTCCAGGGTCACCTATGTGTTCCCAATATCAATGTCTTGAGGGAGAAGATTCTAGATGAGGCACACAGTTCTTGATATTCTATCCATCTAGGTGCTACAAAGATGTATCGCAAACTGAGGCATCATTATTGGTGGTAGTGGATTAAGAAGGACATAGTTGAGTATGTACCCAGATGTCTAAATTGCCAGTAGGTTAAGTATGAGCATTATAGGTCGGGTGGCCTACTCCAACAGATGGTTATACCAAAGTGGAAATGAGCGCGCATCACTATAAACTTTGTAGTTGGGTTGTCGCGTACGTTGAGGTGGTTTGATTTCATTTGGGTCAATATCGATAGGCTGACCAAGTCAGCACACTTTATTCCGGTGGTGACCACGTACTCTTTAGAGAGATTGGCCTAGAATTACATTCAGGAGATTGTCTGGTTGCATGGTTTACCTGTTTCCATCATAACAGATAGAGGCCCTCAGTTTACTTCACATTTTTAGAGAGCAGTACAAAGCGAGTTGGGCACCAGGGTAGAGCTCAGCACAGCCTTTCATTCACAGACCGGCAGGCAGTCGGAGCGAACAATTCAGATTTTGGGGGATATGCTTAGAGCGTGCGTGATTGACTTCGGAGGGAAGTGAGATCGATTCTTGCCTTTGGCCGAATTTTCTTATAGTAACAGTTATCAGTCTAGCATCGAGATGGCTCCATTTGATGCTTTACATGGCTGGCGATGTTGTTCGTCCATTGGATGGTTTGAGCCTAGTGAGGCTAAGTTATATGGCACTTATTTAGTGAAGGATGTCTTGGAGAAGGTAAAGTTGATTCAGGAGCGACTCCGCATAGCACAGTCCAGATAGAAGAGTTACGCGGATCAGAAAGCGTTTGCTTCATCATTTATGGTCGAGGAGATGGTTCGCTTGAAAGTCTCGCCGATAAAGGGTATCATGAGGCCTGGGAAGAAGGTAAGTTAAGCCCAAGCTTTATTGGCCCATTTGATATGTTGAGGCGAGTTAGGGAGCTTGCTTGTGAGCTTGCCTTTCCTCCCAGCCTATTGAGAGTTCATCCGGTTTTCCATGTGTCTATGCTTTGTAAGTACCATGTTGACAGATTGCATGTGTTAGATTACAGCACGGTTCAGCTAGATGAGAGCTTGGGTTGTGAGGAGGAGCTAGTTTCCATTGTTTCCAGGTAGGTTTGCCAATTGAGGTCTAAGAAGATTTTTGCGCTAAATGTCCAGTGGAGGGCTCAACTAGTGGAGGAAGCGACTTGGGAGACCGAGGACGACATGAGGAGCAGATATCCACACGTATTCAGCACTCCATGTATGACTCTAGACCCGTTCGAGAATGAAAGTTTGTTTAAAGAGGTGAAGAATGTAATGACCCGACCGGTCATTTTGCCTTCTTGATCCCTGTACCCCTAATTAACACTCCACATATGTGCTTTTACTTTTTTATGACTTGCGGAGATGGTTGGTCTAGGTTTGGAAGGGTTCGGGTTGAAATCAGAACACTTAGTTCCTTAATAGAGGCCAAAGATTGCCAAGTTTGACTTGAGTCAATATTTTTAGTAAACAACCTCAAAACCAGGATTAGATGGTTCCAGTATGTTCTTATGATGATTTTGTACTTGGGCATATGTTCGGATCGGGTTTAAGGTGCTCCTGGAGCATTTCGGCGCTTAATGTTAAAGTTGACACATTGAAGGTTTTCTAGTTCTTTAAATTTGGTTCTGAGTAGACTTGGGTGTTATCGTAGTCCGTTTGGGATTTGGAGCCTAGGAATAGGTCTGTATAGTGATTTATGACTTGTACAAAAACTTGGTGTCATTCCGAGTGGTCTAAGTATGATTTTACATGTTCGGAGCTTGTCGAAAAGTTTGAAGTTCATAAGTTGATTCAATTTGGTTTTGGGGTGTCATTCTTGGTTTTGATGTTGTTTTACGCTTTCCGGGGGTTTGAGCAGATCCATATTATGTTTATGGACTTGTTGGTGCAGTTGAGAAGGGTCCCGGGTAGCTCGAGTATGTTTCGAACCGCCCGGAGCTAAGTCCAAAATTGATGCATTGCTGGTTCTTGTTTCCTTCTTCAAGAACGCGGAGGTCCTCACGCGTTCGCGATGAAGGATTTGGGAAGTGGGGTGATTTGTTCTTCACGTTTACGATTAGGCGGTCATGTTCGCGGAAGTCTGAGTCCCTAGGCCTACGTGTTTGTGAAGGACCTCTCGCGTTTACGTAGAAAAAAGGGACTTGGGAGTGGTCAGCACCCATTACCCTTCGCGTTCACGAAAATCTAACCTCGTTCGTAATGCTCAGCCTGGGCAAGACTTCCTGATTGCGAGATTGCCCTCGCATTCGCGATGAAGGGTCCTTGTCTTGGGCAAGCTTTAACTTCACAATCGTGAGGTTTTGTCTGCGATGGCGAAGAAGGATCGATGGGCAGTGTCTTGATTAAAAGTAGGGGCTTAGGCTTATTTTTCCCATTTCTTATTGTGTTGGCCGAATTTGGAACTTCTTGGAGAGGGGTTTTCATCAAGCACTATAAGTTTAGTGATTCATACCTAATGTAAGTTAAATATATAGATTATGGGTAGATTTTAACATGTAAAATATGGAAGGTTTAGGAGTCTAGGTTTTGATAAAAATGGGATTAGACCGCGAAAATGATTATGGAATTGAGTAGAGATTATATATCTGTGTTCGTGAGGTAGTGGGTAACATTTATTTACAAAATTTCCGGAATCCGAGTATGTGGGCCTGAGGATAAATTTTAGGAATCTTTCAAATAGGGTTTGGGTAATTACTCTAATAGTTAAATTATGAACTTTTGAGCAAATATTGATTAGTTTGCACAATCTTTGGCTAGTTTCAGATTGGTCAGCATCGACTTGAGGCTTTTAGTGTGATTTGTGGACCGGAAAGTGGATTTGGAAATGAGTTAAGTCTCTTGCATAACCTTGTGATAGAGAATTAACTCCATAGGTGTTTAAATTATTATTTGCTACTAATTATGGGTGCTACATTACGCCGAAGTGACGAGAGTCCGTACGTAGCTAAAATTCATGTTATGTCCGTATAGACATATGACTTTATCATACAATACTTACACTATATGAACTCAACTTGTTAGTTTAATTACTTGTATTAATAAGTAAAATTTGATTAAAAATTATGTTAAACTGAGCTTCATTACATAAAGATTTGGCGGAATGATTAATTATTGATGGACAATTCATATTCCTTTATGGGCTTACCTTGGGTTGTAAACACGAAATTAGTAGTCCGAATGGTTTCCCTATTCATGTGGATCGGACGGAACGCCTCGACAATAATTATATATAATGTGATGCATCTATGGATCGGTGGGGCGTACGACCTCGGTAGTGTATGTACATGATTACTATGGATCGGACCGTACGACCTCGGCATAACTCGTGCATGTTGTCGCTAGGAGTCCGATTATACTGAATATATCCTTCATGACTTGAGAAATTGTAATTACATGTTAGCCCTTACTTGTTGAGATTAACATGTGATATTTTGGGACTTTTAAATTGTTATTTTGTTAAAGAATCATGTAATTATTGCCTTTTATTCCATTATTCATGTTGTATTTCATGCCAATTTATAATTTTTGCACTTAATGTATATTGACCATTAGTAAGTGTCGATGTCGACCCCTCGTCACTACTTGTTCGAGGTTAGGCTAGATATTTACTAGGTACATATTTTTTACGTACTCACGCTACACTTCTGCACAAATTGTGCAGGTTCTGAGGCAGGTACATCTGGTGTTCGTCGAGGCGTGCATCCGCATTACCCGGAGGCCTAGCGGTGAGCTACTTCCCATTCCCCGTTCTACAACACCCGGAGTCTCCTCTTGTTGTATTTATTATTTCTGTCTATTTTGTTTCAGACAACAGTTGTAGGGAGTTTTGTAAATTCTACTACATGCCCGTTCACTCGTGACACCGGGTTTTGGGAAATTTTAGTAGATATTCATGATTTTTTATTGTTAAATTCACTACTTTACTCTTATGTTTAGTTTATGCTTTACATTACTACAATCACCTAGTATTCGTTTCGCTATAAAATAAAATCAATAACTTTAAAAATATTAAAATGAACAATTAAATGAATAGTTCACTGTTGGCTTACCTAGCGGCGACATTGGGCGTCATCACGGCCTATAGTGAGAATTGGATCATGACAGAACTAGAAAATATGTCACATAAATTGGGACAGATTGAGCAGTAACGTTCAACCAATAGGCTATTAAAACAAAAGAAATGAGCAATTTATTCATATAGAGCTGACACATTCGAAGAAATTTGATTACCCCCTATACAACAACCGGATAAGATTTAAAATTTGTGTCTTAAGGATATATTATCTTAGCTAATCTTGGTTTTGCTTGAGCAAGAAGTGGCAACGTACAAAAGAGATCACTCTTCGACGCCTCAATTAAGTCATTGCGTGGTGAATTTGGTGGTAAACTCCAAGTAAACCCGTGAAAAAGCCTAGCAAGTAACATGGTAGTAATGGTAGAACCAAGTTTCACACCAAGTCACCCTCGTCGTCCAATATTAAATGATAACAAGATAACAAGTGTAACTCTGAATCATTGTAAACTACATTTTTTTCCTTGAATTGGCGCTCAGGCTTAAACTTCATCGGCTCCTCCCAAACTTTAGGATTCCGACCAAGTCCAAGACGACTTAATAGCACTACACTCCCTTTGGGGATGAAGTACTTTTCACTAGTAATAATATCAGAAACAGAGACATGAGGAACGTTAAAAGGCAATATGGGGTGGGGACGAAAGGCCTCTTTTATGCAAGCTTTGACATAATTTAGCCGTGCCAAGTCTGATTCCTGAACCAATTTATTGCTCCCAACGACAGTGTTGAGTTCTTCAATGACCCTTTGCATCAACTGTGGTTGGTTCAACATTTATGCAAGTGTCCATTCAGCTGCAATTGAGGGATTATCCATTGTTGCCAACATGAGTTCCTGTATATTAACCGTTTGTAACAAATCATGCATATCAACACCATTTCACACAATAGTTTTTTTAATTTTAAGGTAATTATTTATATGGTAGGTTGAAGGGAATGGGAATGTTTAAATTTTAAATATATATGTCATTTTAATTAAATTAGGGGGTCACGCAAATCAACAATGTCATTCACATGGTTTAGGGGATAGAAAGTATACTTACAAGGATTTGTGCTTTAATCTCTTTAACATTCAGAAATGGATTTCCATTAGCATCTTTGAGCATTATAAGAACACCAAGGATGGCTTCTTCCAAATCTGAACCCTCTTATGAATTTAGGTATCAATGTGTTTTGTTGCTGTGGCAAAGGCTTTCTTGATAATTGCCTTGTGACCATCCAAATCAAACACACTTAACAATGGCAAGTAATCCGAGATACCAAAAGAATGGAGGTATTCAAGAAGTTTGAAGACTGCATCAACTTGCTCCTCAGCTTCTTTTCCAAATAATCTCTTGCTGAAAATCATATTCCAAATAACATTCCCACAATAATCGTTGCCTCTCATGTGCTCTCACCAACATCTCTTCAATGGCTTAGTCATAAAAGGGATGAAGACGCTAACCACCTTCTTCGATATGTTTACAATGAATGCAGCAACCAACCGGTAATTAACTCAAGGAGAGTGACAAGATATTATTGTGGGAATGTTATTTGGAATATGATTTTCAGCAAGAGATTATTTGGAAAAGAAGCTGAGGAGCAAGTTGATGCAGTCTTCAAACTTCTTGAATACCTCCATTCTTTTGGTATCTCGGATTACTTGCCATTGTTAAGTGTGTTTGATTTGGAGGGTCACAAGGCAAGTATCAAGAAAGCCTTTGCCACAGCAACAAAACACATTGATACCTAAATTCATAAGAGGATTCAGATTTGGAAGAATGGCAACAAAACTATGGAAAAAGACATCCTTGATGTTCTTATAATGCTCAAAGATGCTAATGGAAATCCATTTCTGAATGTTAAAGTGATTAAAGCATAAGTCATATATATATATATATATATATTGGCTATCAAATATAAATAGTTTTTACATAGTGGTCAAATATGAATTGCTATTAAAAGTTTTAGATATTTGGTATCCAAGAACTCATAACGTGTGCTTCTAATTCGAATCTGCCTCGTGTAGGCCTACCAATGTTTCCAATTCTAAGAATTGAATTGAGACGTGTAACCCCTTAGTAGGTTAATATCTTTATCCAGTCACCTGACAATTATAATCACATACCTAAATAACTCTTGCAAATCTGTACTTGAGAAAATATCTTGGGAGGAATCCTAATTCTTATGGAGAAAAATAAAATTGAAATATCTTGATGATAATATTAGTAATAAACTAATATTCATGTAGTAGAATACCATGCTAAGGGTACTAAACAGAGGAAGATTTAGGATTTAAATTCTATTTGTTCAATATTTAAGGTTGTTAGCATTGAAGTCATTATATTTTTAAAATTACGAGTTCATACTTATTTTTTTTTACCATTTTAATAAATCTTTACACAAAATTTTTACTCCGCTTGAAAATCTATGGGTTCAATTGAACCTGTAGCTATAATGGTACATCCACGTATTGAATGAACCACGAATACAAATACGAATACAAATAAATGCTATTATTCTTTGTGTTTGGTTTTCATATATAAGAAAGATAAGAGGAAAATATAAAGGTATTGAAGCTTTAAAGCGTATACAGTCAAACTTCTCTATAATAATATCATTTTTTTTTTATACCAAGAAAGACTATTAAGGTCTTCCAAAAAGTGAATATAATAGATTTACAAAGTGTAGAAGACCCAATAAACACATAGTTTTGGAACTTTTGATGTTATTAGATGAGGTGCTTGATTACATATTTGTCATTGTTGTTAGAGCAGTTAAATAACATGAGTCAAACTTTTCTATTTCTGTACCTCAAATTGTAGTATTTAATTATATAACCATAAAGCACTAAACATGCAAAAATTGGGAAGGCATATGGAATCTTTGGTAATTACTATTTACTAGTAATTCTGGCCAATGCCGAACAATTATTTAGGAGAATAATTGAAGAGTGAGTGCATGAGAACAGAACTAGCCATAGGGTTGGCTAGAATTTGGGAAGGAAAAATTGAAGCATCTTGTACACAGGAAAATAAAAGTAGTGCAAGTAGAAGGGGTATTATTTTGCAAAAAGTTTAAGTTGTCTGTGTACGACGACGTAAAATATTTGTATACTATCAGGTTAAGTTTATTGCCGCAACAAGTAGCCAAGGGTGTGGTCTTTATGCCCAGTGGTCAATGAAATTTATGTAAATCATGGAGACTACGTTTCAAATATCAGAGATAAACTTTAGGTGATTTCGTCCCATATACCTATGTGCGGGGCAGAATTACTCGATACATGTATCGGTGGGAATCCTTTATGTTGTCACTGTATATATAACTTGAACCCTTTATAAAAAAACATTATAGTAAAGAGAAAATAATTAAGACTTGTTATCATCTTGACAGCAGATCAATATGATGTCTTTAATATTGTTTAAGAATGTGAACTCAAAGAAAATATAAAAAACATACACATACAAACAGTGTTTTTGTATGAAGAGTAATAGTCTGAACTCGGGGTCGTTTGGTAGGATGTATAAGAATAGTGCCGAATAAGGTGCATTAGTGATACAAAGATTAGTAATACATGGGTTAGTAATACAAGTATTAGTTACGCAGAGATTATTTCTTATCTACTCTTTGGTGTGGTGTACTAAAAATTAAAATGCATTGCATAATTTTTAAGAAAATTAGTTATTTACAAAAATGCCCTGCATTTTCTTTAGCTTTAAGGAACTTTAAGAATAATTTTATCTTCATCCATGCTAATGCATGCATTAATAGTGTAACGACACGGCCGGTCGTTTTAAGTGTATTAGCCATGATCCCCTATTTAGTGCTTTCCCCGTAATTGTTTCTGTTTATGTGGCTTGCCGGGAGGTCTTGTTTTTTGTTTCGGAGTATTTTGGTACACTTAGTCCCTAAAACGGAAGCTTAAGTCTTAGGATTTTGAACGTAGTTGGAATTGTGTGAAGACGACTCCGGAATGGAGTTTCGTCGATTCTGTTAGCTCCGTTGGGTGATTTTGGACTTAGGAGCGTGTCTAAACTGTGAATTTGAGGTCCGTAGCTAATTTAGGCTTGAAATGACGAAATTCAAATTTTTGGGAAGTTTGACCGGGAGTTGTCTCTTTGATATTGGGGGTGGATTGGAATTTCGGAAGTTGGAGTTCGTGGTGTCATTTATGACTTGTGTGCAAAATTTAGTGTCAAACGGACGTGATTTGATAGGTTTTGACGTCGTTTGTAGAATTTGGAAATTTCAAAGATTATTAAGCTTGAATCCGTGTGTAGTTCGTATTTTTTGGTGTTGTTTCGAAGTGATTAGAGGATTGACTAAGTTTATAGCGGGTTATAAGACTTGTTGGTATGTTTGGTTGAGGTCCCGGGGACCTCGGGTCGATTTCGGGTGGTTAAAGGATCAAAGTATGATATTGAAGAATAGTTGGAGTGTTGTTCCTGCTGGTGTAATCGCACCTGCGAGTGGGGAACCGCACGTGCGAACACGCAGATGCAAATAGGAGGCCGCAGATAAGGGAAGGCTAGGAAGGGCGGGGGAGCAAGTGCAAGAAAGGATGCGCATCTGCGAGTCCGCAGATGCGAAAAAGGAAAAGTTTGACATTTCCGCACAAGCGGACGAAATGCCGCAGGAGCGACTCTGCAGGTGCGAGACTTGGAGCGCAGGTGCGAGCCCGGTGTTTGTAATGGATTCCGCAGGTGCGGATGTTTCTGCACAAGAGCGGTTCCACAGGTGCTGAAATAGGGCTGCAAGTGCGAAAAGCCTGGGCAGAAGGTTTAAAATCAAGGGTTCACGATTTTTGTCTTGTTTCAACATTTTCGACTCGGACTTAGGAGATTTTGGAGAAGTTTTTCGAGGTGATTATTTAGGTAATCTTCTTGTAATCATTTTGGATCATAAAAGTTATTTCCCCACTGATTTTCCCACCTAATTAGTAAGAATTGAAAGGGAAATTTGGAGGGGGGAGGGGGGGCTAGGGCTTGCAAATTGGAGAGTGAGTTTAGGGGATTTTAATGGCCATTGGATCTCGAATTTTGATAAATTTGGTATGGTTAGACTCGTGAGTGAATGGGCTTTCGGGTGTTGTGACTTTTGTTGGATTTCGAGACGTGGGCCTAGAGTCCTGTTTTAGCCGATTTCGGAATTATGGCTATGATTTAGTACTTTTCTTGTGGAATTGATCCCTTTAGCCTATATGTATTGTATTGTTTTACTTGCGGCTAGATTCAGGACGTTTGGAGACTGATTTGAGAGGCAAAGGCATTTCGAAGTAGAGATTTGCTCTGTTTGAGGTAAGTAACGCTTTCAAACTTGGTTCTGAGGGTTCGAAACCTTGAACTATGTGTTATGTGATTGGTATTGAAGTGGCGCACATGCCAAGTGACGGGCGTGCGGGCGTGCCCTATGGGAATTATGGCCTGATTTATTCCATGGCACTGTATAGTGACTTTATCATGTTGATATCCATGTTTTCATCATATGATAAAGAAATTGAGCTGTCATTCATGCTAGATAACATGTTTAGGCTTCATGTCAGTACTATTGGGACCCCAGTGGTCATTTCTTGCTGTCATCTCACTGATTTCATGGATATTACATACTCATTCATGTTCATACATTTTTTATCATATCTCAGACTCAGTTGTTATTTATTGATAAATTATATCATTGTTTCGGGCTAGTTTTCATGATATTGTGAGCCCGTGAGTGAGACTAGAGAGATTGATGACTGAGTGAGGCTGAGAGCCTGATTATGAGTGACAGTTATGGGATCGGTTTTCACGCCGCAGTGGTTATACTGATTTTATGATAGCACTTGGGCCGTAGGAGCCCCTCCGGAGTCTGTACACCCCCTAGTGAGCACTCTTGATATTATTGAGGGATGTATCTTCACTGGTCATGAATCTTGTCCGAAGTACTTGATACCTGGAGATGGATCTTCTCCACATGGATGGATTGGCCTTCCTCGGTACTGGGTGACTTATAGTCAGTGATGTATATGTTCCAGGATGGATCTTGCCTGGGCTGTATGGGCCATATACACTACGTAGTGGTTGAGCATTCGAGAATGTGAGCACATGAGGCTGACAACATGGTGAATCACATACAGTATGTGCATTGGCATGTAGAGATAGCAGAGTTATATTCTTTACATTGTTCGGATCTGCTTCACTTTACTATTTTCAGCTGCCTATTTAATTTGAAAGCATGCCTATGTTTCTGTACAGTTTTCTATTTTGTTTGTACCAGTTGAGTTCGTCACTACCTTTCAGTCCAAAGTTTGGACTTGTTACTTACTAAGTTGGATGTACTCATGTTACTCCCTGCACCTCGTATGTAGATCCAGATAATTTTGGTCCCGTCGGCGGTTACTGATTGCGGCTTTAGAGTTCGGAGACTACCAAGGTAGTTGCACGGAGTTCGCAAGCCTTGACTCTCCTTATTTATCACTAATTATATTTTTAGTTTATTTCTCCAGACACTGTAGTGGACTGTATTCTCATTTAGACGCTCATGTACTCTGTGACATCCCTGTTTTTGGGATGGATTGTATCGTATTTTGGATACTTCAATTTTCAAAAAAGGCTTTCCTAAATTATTAAATTGCTTTCGTCTTTATGTTCAAAGATTTTTTCTATGTTAAGATGTTGAGCTGTGGCTTGCCTAGTTCCATGATAGGCGCCATCACGACGGCTAGATTTTGGGTCGTGGAAAGTTTGTATCAAAGGCTAGGTTACATAGGTCTCACAGGTCATGAGCAAGTTTAGTAGAGTCTTGTAGATCGGTGCGGAGATGTTTGGACTTATCTTCGAGAGGCTGCCGAAACCTTAGGAAACTTCACATTCTTTAATTCTTGTC